TTAATGAAAGTGCAACTAATAGAGAAAACTAAAGGGAAGTATTAAAAGCAGATAGCAAATACCATTCAACTTTTATTTATCTTAATATTTAAATGATAGACTTGTGTTTTCAAAATACCGAAGAGCAAAACCAAATAAAGCAATTGCTATTTTAAACATACATTTGTCAACTATTGTTAAAGGAATATAAACCAGAATGTTTTAAATTAATAATATCACGTACCGTGGAATTGATATGGTGGGCCAATTGGCTAGAAATGGCTAGTTTTCAAACATGTGTCCTCCAAATGTTTTGTCACATTTTGCTTAGGGATTGATGTAATAGCTATTAATTCTTGTACTCTTTGAAAAGAAACGATACTAATACAAATACGTATCAAAACATATATTTAATACAAAATCAAAATCATCTTCAAACCTGTACATACAAAATGCCTGTAATAAATATGAAATAAACTTGTAACTAATAATAATGTATTGGTTTTTGACAACAAATTCTAAGAGTTAAACATATAACAATTGCCTTCTATCTTGATATCGGTTAAAAAAACATTCGTCACATTCACTTCCACTTGCAAGTCAGTTCAAGTGAACAATTCTCAAGGGACTTCAAAATAAACTGTCGTCGTTCTAAAAGTAAAACTTAAGACATTTTAACTTTAGGATCATTTCAAAGTAAACTAAGTTTATATTACTAAACATTATAGTTAGAAAGTTTGGATAAACTGAAGATAAGTCTACGTTTTCAAACAATGATATTTAAACGTTATGGACTCTATTACTTTATTTAAGAGAAACAGACTTCTATTGTAACACTTTCGTTCCAAAATATGCACCATTATTTTTTTAACATCTGTAACATGAAAATAAAAGGCAAAACTTGTGAAAGGCAGAATCCGTTTTACAGATTTTTGCAAATGCTAGATGCATCTAGCTGCATCAACTTATGTGGAAAACTTCTAACGACTACACGGATATCAAAATATCAAGATTTAAGAGAATGTTAAATACTTACACATATATCTTTACGTGTTTCTAATATACTTTAATTGTCAGGCAAACTATTAATCAAGTAGACCTAATTCTGTTGGTATCATTTTTAAAAGTTACAAAATAATTAATTTAAACTTATTTATTAATTTAACCTTTTTACCAAATTGTATTATTTTTTAACTACAGTATTTTAATATACATATATAAAATATTATACTTTGTATAATAATTATATAACACAACGTTATCTATACAGTAACTTTCCCTTAGTGTAACGATATATGAATGACATACTTAACAAATCGACTTAACACTTTTACGATCAAAACTTTAATAACAAATGTTTACATTCTAGAGATATTTATTAAATAAAACTAACAAATATATAGTATCTTCTTATTTCTTCTGTCTTATGCATATGTTAGTTATTTAAATTGTTTATTTAAACAAATTATATTTGTAGGATCTAGTTTTTCTACATCACTAGTTCCGCAAATAGTCAGATGCTTGATATGCTGTTTCGATATGCTATCCTCGTAGTTACGACCCGTCATGTCCATACTGCTTTTTAATTCAATTATAAAGTCTTTACGCCTAAATCTATAGTGCTAATAGTATAATTCTTGTATATTTTGTCTCAAGATATAACATCATATATTTATTACTCAATAAAAACTGCATATTCATTTAAGAAGAATAAGTTTCATTGTGTAATTATTTAAGATTCTTAATATATTATTTCGCTATGACTATAATAATACTTTTCAATAAAATCTAGTGATCTAGTCAGATGTCCAAATAAAATATACCACTGTGGGACCATGGGATTATTTTTGAAAAATTATTTAACAATATTGAGCCGAAACTAAATTATTACTAAAAAATAAAAGAATGTTGGTCCTGTTGTCTATCATCTACCGCCATCGACTTCTTAATCGAACTTGAGCGGGACGCCAGAAAACTAACGGTCGCTGAAAAGTAGCCGAAACTTCGGGAGTATGTAGTTTTTTACAAAAATAAAGCAAAAATTAGATTAGCAAAACAGATCTTTAAGATTGGTTTTGGAATTTAATTTAAATTCAATTTAATAGTATCTATTATGTTTTCATTCGGCTCCATTCCATTCTTTCAGACAGAGCGGAAATATAACATTCTTTATTTCAGTTTTAAATTAAATTAGGTTAAAATTATATTACTTTTTTATATTTCCTATTTACTATGTAAGCAGTATATGATTTTTAATACCTCTTTATTTACATGTATGTTTCAAATTCCTATTGAGATTCAAGTATTCCGATTCATGTGAACGATCTTTCTCAATGCGAGTGATCTCCAACAGATAACGAATCATGCAAAAATCTAATCAGCATATGACAGTCCCGGGAGCACTTATGAAAGGAAAAAGGACTGTCATTTGAACAACTTTAATAAGAAGAAGGTTCACATTTCAACGATCTAATATTCAAGTTTTTTAAAAAAATATTCATCTCTAATTTGGTTGCTTGTTAGATAAAGTGGTTCTAAAACGACTAATCCAATTCTTACATAATAATTGGGTCTTAGACTTTCGCGATATTTATTCATTTAAATGAAACCAATATTTTTCGGATATACATCGCGGTTAAATTTTGCGAAAAACTACATACTCTCGACGTTTCGGCTCCTTTTCAGTAACAGTAATCACGGGCAGACGAGATGTGAATGTCTGTCAGTTGGTCTTGTTATTTATCATCTACCGCCATAGGTTTCTTAATTTTCTGGCGTACCGCTCTGAATGCCGGCATAATGCGCTGAAGGTGTCCCGATGTCTTGGGGTGTGGTCACGGACATGGGATTTGAATGTTTAAGCAATATCCGAGTATCTATTTAATTTGAAATATGATATTTTTCTCTATTAAGAGTTCTATGCCCGAGACAGGAATTAATACAATCATTATAAGATTTAAGAACAATGACAATCTATTCTTAAAAAGATTTTGTTCACAGTTTTGCGGAGGTGAAATGTTTTTGCTATGATAGTGAAAGATAAATAAAACCAGTCAAGATAATCAGCGTAAAACTATTATTATCTCTATATCCAGATACTATCATTCTAACAACATGTTCTGTACTTCAATAAACAAAACATTTATGTTTTATGTATGTGATTAAATAATTGTATTATTAACACTACATTTGTGTTACATTGCTAAAAACGACGTCGTAAAGCTGATATTACTACATACTATTTTGTTACTTATTATAAGTTATTAATTTAGTTTCCAATACTCTTGAGTCCTTGTGATAAATATTAACTCTCCCTGTATTTTATTTTTTTACTTAAAACATTTAAAAGAATTGCTAGACTTTCTACCAAAATTATAAGACTCCTTAAGGTAATTTTCTCTCCTTCACATAAAACGTATTACGTATTATGTTTAAATCAGATATAATAAAAAATAAAACAATCGAACAGAAACCCTTATATATAAAATTGACTTTAGATATAGAAACATAGTACCACATGTATATTATGTTTGTTATTTACTTTATCTCTCACTGAAAACCGTAAGCTATATAGCAGATCACATGAGAATACGAACAGAAGAGACTGACAAGTGATTGATGGAACATTTATATATTACAAGTACAAGTTGGTGTGTTGTATAGTTTAAATATAATTATGTTTTGTAATTACATAAATAACTTTAATATCACGTGGCTATATAAAGTTGTTATTAAAAATGATAAGATGACAATATTGCAATGTTATGAATCCAATCTAAGAGTCACTTGAATGAATCCTAGAGATATAAATCCGATTGATTAGATAACGAGCAAGGATATAGTGGTGGGTCTAGGCTATGTTAATAATAAAATGAGAGGCATTAAGGGGGAAAATATGTTTTTATAGCCTTTTTGTAACTTTTTAGAAGGTACTATACTTGATGTTTTTTATTAAACAATACTTAAAAACGATTTTCCTATAACGTATATCTTAGTAGATATGCAAATTTAAGTTCTTGACAGGGATACGAGTATTCTGAAAAAAAAATCTTTTTTTTATATTATACATCTTCGATTAATAATGTTTTTTATTATTTTTACTATTATTCTAGCACTTAAAGCTGCAAAAGTAAAGTTTATTCAAATAACTATGTCTAAATAAAAATATATTGGATCAAGTTAGTTTCCTCCAATAAATTAATAAGCTCACTGTCAAATTATCTTCACCATCATCATCATAGAAATTCTCCTAGGCTTCTTGTGTTACAGCCGGCTTGTTTTAAAATCCTCTAGGAAAAAAAATCTCTAAATCGGCATTCACTTTATAATTTCTTCGTACACATGTATAAGGTAACCAATTGAGATTAATTTTTTGAAATACAAGAATCATGAAAAGTTAAATAACATATAGTTTTTGAGTTATTTGATTCACGATAATGAGTTAGAAATTTATAGTGACACTGATATCATCACCATCAGCCTATCAGAGCCCACTGCTGAGCAAAGGTCTCTTTCTCACATGGAGAAGGTTTGAGAATTAATCACCACGCTTGCTCAAAACGAGTTGGTGCTTTCAAACTTATAATTATGAAACTATAAGTCCAGGTTTCCTCACGATGTTTTCCTTCACCGTATGTCAGTGATGTCTAAATACTCTCAGAAAGTACATATGACTTCGAAAAATCACATTGGTACTTGCCAGGTTTGAACCCGCGCCCTCGGCAACGAGAGGCGAGCCCCTTAACCACTAGGCCACCACTGACTTATCGAATAAGTTCATACTCTTTATAAATTAAATGTATTAAAAATTAGGAGAGATGTATTTTCTAAGTTCCTACTACTTGTTCGTCATCTTCCTGATATTAAATTTCCTCGCTGAATGCATTTATAAAGATAAGATGTTCATGTAAAAGGTTTAAAAATTACTAGATATCGTATTACGTAACTATATCATAAGTTAAAGTGCTATTTTGTTATTTAAAAATAATTTATTAATATCATTATAATTATAATATGTATATTTACCTGTAGTTAAAGCTACCCAGACCGCCGTATTCTCTGCGCATGAAGGCCTGTTTACCGTACGTTCCCTGGAGGGAGAAGTCACCATTCTTACCGACCGGCCATCTCCCACCAGCCGCTGCTTGATACTGGAATTATGTATTAAGTTGTTATACAATATTACTACATTAAGATTTGTTGCAATATAAATAGTTACGTTAAATGTAGATGTACTCACTGAAGTACCACCATGTATCTGTTTGCTGATGTCAAAGGAGGCGGCTGCGTTAGGGTTCTTCCAGTTGAGTGCTCCTCCGAGGTGCGAGGAGTCCCCGGCTGGTCCAAGGACGCGGGTTCCGTACGCCTGTGCGTTTAGAGTTCCGCGGTGATCATTGAAGATCTGATGCTCATAGCCACCCTTACCCTACATTATAAACATTTACAATTAAATATCACTGCCTTATGGATCGCCCTCTGTAAAGTTTATAGAGCAGGTTATTTGTTATTATATATTACTTAACTAGTAATCCCGGCGAACTCCGTTTCGCCAGCAGAAGGCTTTTATATAACATTTCGTTTGGTGATTAAAAGATGAAGAATTTATTTTTTGTTTTATATTTGAAAAGGAAAATATTTAGGTATGTCATTTCACAACAGTAATGAATTCATTTCGATTACAAAAATGAAGTGTTATTTAGTTGATATTCTCGAAGTAAATAAAAGTGAATCCAAAGTAGATATCGAATCGAAGCGTTATACGTGTCCGCAAATTATCCGTTTTATTGAAGTGGTCCTTTGTAAACCACATTTTTTGTTTTTTGGTCTAACTTTAACACAAATAAAGCGGATGGTTTCCAAACTTGTGGACACGTAAAATATAACGACCATGTTAAAAGCAATTATTTTCTAAATTTATCCCGCAAATACTAAATGGTTTTAAGAGTTATTTTTATACAGTAGATTTCTTACAAATATCTAATTGTCATCATTACGTCATTACATATCTGTCATTATACGTCAATTGCATAGCTGTCAATTGTGTTTCGTTATTCCACGTTTTATAGTGACTGACGTTTCATGTCAAGTCCCACGGGAATGCTGTCGAACGGGATAAAAAGTATCCTATTGCAATTTCCTGGCTCTAAACTATCTCCCTGCCAATTTTTAGCTAAATCGGTTCAGCCGTTCTTGAGTTATAAGTGGAGTAACTAACACGACTTTCTTTTATATATATAGATATTGTTACATACAAAGAGTCCATTAATTATCGTTTTGTCCGAGTGTTCCGAACACTTTTCCGTCACCGATCTGTTTATCAAAAGTGACGTCACGACGAACTTGTTGACCCACGTACCATTCAGGATAACTAGAATATAAAACGAAAATAGTCAGTAATAAATTGAACTTTAATACATTGTAATAGAGTTTATTAAGACAGGTGATGAGTTAAAGATTAATATTGAACATTTATACGACTCACGGTTCCACAAAAAATTCTGGTTAAACAAACTGCTGAGTAAAATGCTAAGAAGATGACGGCAAATAACATATAGAGAAAATACATTTTGATCTAAAACAATATATAGTATGTGAGATGGTTAGAAACTAAAACATTAAGAAAATAGGGTACTTAACTTTTCATATTATTATTTTTAACAACTCACATATCTCTATTAAACCTTTTTTAAGATTATAGATTCAACCGATGCTGATGCAATTTTAATAGTGATTAATACAAGACGATGCAAAACTTCATATTTATACAATGATAAGGGGTTTCCTGAGCTTGAGAGTTCACGATTCCCTTAAGTCTGATTTTTAGTTTCCAGTGAGCAATAATAAACTGTAAATTATGATAAGTTGTTACTCCTAAGATGATTTTAGTATATGTCTTAAAATAGATAAAAATGTTTTTGTACATATATTTACATTATATGAACAGATTTTTTAAAGGATTTAATGCATATGAAGAAATCTTTGAGACGGACCTTATATATGTAGAATCCTGCTTCCAAAACATTTTGAAACTATCTACTTATGAAATATAAAATGTTAACTCATTTCTTACCAAATTTATACAAAATTTGGCTAACTAATTTATCACAGCGTTCAAACAGTATGCCGCTTGTGAAGCCGGCGCGGCGGGGCCGGAGCAAACATTTGATTACACTTTGAGATCGCCTTTTTCGTGTTTGTTATTCAGTCCTAAAAATCTTTAAATTAACTTTCTTTGTAGTAGTATATATGACAAATATAAAAATACTTTATATAAAACATTTACAGAAATAAATCTCCTGACATTTCATATTTTGAAAAGAAAATATGTTTGATTAGTCTATTTGGATATATATTCTTCACTGATATAACAGTTACAAACTTGATATTTTTAAATGTACATATATTAATAGTTTTGTTGCTTACAATTTTTATGTGTTTAAATATAATTCAATTTCTCGCAAAATGTCACGATATGCTGTTTTATATGATAGTTGCAACATTCCAAATATCGGTTTGAATTTGTTGCTTCCCAACAAATTTTCATCACTATTTTTGCTTTTGTTAGGGCTGCTGGTAAATTCGGTTGTTTTGCACATATTTGACGAGACAAAAATTTAATACAGTGGATATTTCATATCAAATAAACATGATACACATGTATAATTCATATCTTGAGCGACTTTAAAGGTGTTAAATATACTTTTAAATTATTTGATTTCTTTTAACATATACTTTTTTTTAATAAAATACATTATTCAATACGCGTTTACAAATAATGAAATAACAAAAATTGACTTTGTTTAGAATTTGCTAAATAATGTATCAAATATTTATGATTCATATTAATATTTAACTAAAGATTAAAAGGAGAACCTCCATAACCGTTAACAGTGTTAAGGACTGATAACAGTGGTTACGTCTTATCAAATGAGATGTACGTACATAGTGGACTTATCGTTCGCTACCCCTGCGGTTGCAACATGAGTGCGTGGCTGGCGGGTCTTGGTTGGGGTGGAAACGTTGTCGGACCACTCTTTTATCAGGTTCGAGGTGGCCTCACAGGAGGGCTCTTTGCCTCCTCGTCGTCCTGGAGGGAGCTCGTCGGAGTTTCCCCGTTGGTCTCGAACCAAGCTGGAGAGACAGATGGCGGTTGAGGCGTCAATCGTCCAGGCCTGGACCATGAGGGTTCAGCAGCCCGTTGAGGTGGATGGGGAGGCACGCAATTTCCGCCGAAGCCTATGGCGGGTTTGCGATGCATCGATGCCCCGTGTCGTGCAGCGCCCCCCCAGACGCCAAGTGTACTGGTATACGTCGGAGATCGCGCAACTGTCTGTTTGTTTAAATTGACACATTATTGACAAGTCACGTCTTAAAACTTGCAACAATAATCCAGTTTTGTTTCATTGAGTTAACAATGTGTAATGTATGGATAATTTAATTTAACCTTGACTGATAAGAGAGGTATAGCCTCACACACGGAAAAGAACTCGGGTCATTGAAGTTCATTGAAAAAATTCACGTTGTTAAACATTTCGTTTATTGTTTGCTTTCGGTTCTGGAAAGAGTAATTATATTTTATTAATTTATAATTTAATTATTACAGTTAAGTTTTATGTATTTAACACAAGTATTCATTCATTGATGTCATCAGCCTATCAGAGCCCACTGCTGAGCAAAGGCCTCTTTCTCACATGGAGAAGGTTTGAGCATTAATCACCACGCTTGCTCAAGATGGGTTGGTGATTTCAATCTTATAATTGTGAAATTATACGTCCAGGTTTCCTCACGATGATTCCTTCACTTTCTGTCAGTGGTGTCTTAATACTCTTAGAAAGTACCTATGATTCGGAAAAATCACATTGGTACTTGCCAGGATACATTAATTGATGGACAAAAAGTTATTGGAATTGATTTTCTCCATCCAAATTCTTATAGTTCACACAAATTCTAGGTGAATTCTATTTAGGTACATGAAAAATTGGCTATTAAGATTAAAATTGACAAGAGAAAATTTCGAAAATACACAATTTTAATATTCTTTAAATTTATAAATAACTGTACTCTAAATTTCAAATGATTAATTTACAACGTTATGTTATGTTAACGTTCGAATAGAAAACTCAAACATAATTAATGTACAGACAGATTTTAATAAAATAACATAAAATTCTTACATATTTATCCACCCTATTACAAAACAAGCTTAAAAAACAAATTGCTCACTTAAAAGTAAGTTTAAATTGCCTCCGAGCTAAAAGTATGAAGTGTCTAGAGACTAACTTAACTCGGAAAAATTAAATAACGAAGTCTCTATAGTGTACAACTTTTATAACAAATTAAAAATAACTTCCGAGCTCTGTTATTTTAACATGAAACGTATTACAACTTGAAAATTATGAAATGTCTTGAGGATTAAAAAATAACTTAGTATTACGAAACTACAAAATGTTTGTTGAGCAGAATAAAATCCTTAATAAATGTGTCAAAACCAGTATTATGTATATATTACAATTAGTAAAAGATAAAACCTGTTTTGTACAATTGCTTTTTATTTTGGATCATATGAATATATAAAAAAATTCTCATTAAAAAAATGATGTTGCTTCTTAACAATTTTAATCCTTAATTTCATTATATACAATAAATTCTTTTAAAATATTAATTAACGACGAATTTCCCAGAATCATTATAATCTTGGCACTAACAATTCTAAGATTTCAAAAATAGCTCAACAAGGATTGAGGTAATTAAAATTACTATTCATTATATCTCATAAATAGAGAAAATATCTGTTTAAATATTTTTTTTGGCGTTTTGTACAAAAGTTATGGTTATTTATTTATAAGACATCTACATGTCGTATCACGTATGTGACAAATACCAATATATATTTCGTTTCAAAAACTTGCTGGTAAGTTGGTGTGATATACCTTATCAGCTTTTTACTTAGTATATTTTAGATCAGTAATTAATAAGCATATTAAAGAGAACTTTCGTTAATAATTATTTTGAAACCAATACACTTATTAAAATTTATTAAATCTTTACGTGAAAGGGGAATCACACAGTATCGTGAACTCGCAAGTTCAGGGAACCCCTTGTCGTTGTATAAATATGAAGTTTTGCAACGTCTTGTATTAATCACGTTTGAAACTGCAAAAGCATCGATTGTATCTGAAATCTTAAAACAGATTTAAAAGAATATGTAAGTTAGTTAAAACTACTAATATAAAAAGTTAAATTCTCCATTTCGTTAATATTTAATTTTGTCAACATCTTACATTCTATAGGGTGTCCCAACAAGAACGCAATTTTTAAATTTTAAATAAAACACTGATATTAAAAAAAATATCGTGAAACTTTATTATATCGTAAAGTAGATAGAATGAGGTTATGTATGGAACAAGATATCGTGCAGATGGCCGCCGCGGCTTTGCAGGCACACGCGCGAACTTTGAATGAAATTTTCTAGGACCGTTTTGCATAAATACTGCGGTATTTCATTAATACAGCGTCCAATTTCCTCTTTTAAGGCTTAAGTCGTCGTCGGCTTATTCGCGTGAACCATCGACTTCAAAAAACCCCAAAGAAAATAATCTAAAGGTGTTAAATCGCACGATCTAGGCGGCCTATTCTGGTCTCCAAAACGGGAAATAACATGACCAGGAAATGACTGATGCAGCAATTGAATTGTTTCTCTGGCTGTATGACATGTGACGCCGACTTGTTGACACCACATGCCGTCCACATTCATTTCTTCGATTCTAGGCAAGAAAAAACTGGTAATCATTTCATGATATCGAACGCCATTGACTGTTTGCGTTGTTGTTGTTGTCTTTACATCACTAACAGACTCAGTTTCGGCATATTTATTCATTAATCTCTTTACAGTTGACTCTTTTTGAGTGAATCCAAAATGATCGTAATTTGCTAACTGTAGCCGCAAAACTTTCACCATTTTGGTAAAACAAATTTACAATGAAAATGCGTTGTTCATTCGTGTAGCGCTCCATTTTTACAAACCTTGTACCTTCTACAAGCAAATAATAACAATTGTTCAAATGTCAAACAATGGCACTTAAAATGGAGCCAAAGTTAAAAATTTCGTTCTTGTTGGGACACCCGTTATATACTGTTTCAGATCAAAATGTATTTTCTGTATATTTTATTTGCCGTCATCTTCTCGGCATCTGCTCAGGAGTTTGTTGAACCAGAATTAGTTGAGGAACCGTGAGTCTTATAATTATTCAATATTAATCATTAATTAATTAGGTGTCTTAATGAACTCCATTACAATGTTTTAAAGTTCAATTTATTACTGACTCTTTTCGTTTTATATTCTAGTTATCCTGAATGGTACGTGGGTCAACGAGTTCGCCGTGACGTCACTTTTGATAAACAGATCGGTGACGGAAAAGTGTTCGGAACACTCGGACAAAACGATAAGGGACTCTTTGTATGTAACAATATTAAGCATTATATAATAATAAACTGTATACTCTTTAAACTTTCTAGTAGAAGGGATGGTCCATAAAGTAGTGATATTAATTGTATATGTTTATAATGTAGGGTAAGGGTGGCTATGAGCATCAGATCTTCAATGATCATCGCGGAACTCTAAACGCACAGGCGTACGGAACCCGCGTCCTTGGACCAGCCGGGGACTCCTCGCACCTAGGAGGAGCACTCAACTGGAAGAACCCTAACGCAGCCGCCTCCTTTGACATCAGCAAACAGATACATGGTGGCACTTCAGTGAGTACATCTACATTTAACGTAACTATTTATATTGAAACAGGTCTTGATGTAGTAATATTGTATATCGACTAAATACATAATTCCAGTATCAAGCAGCGGCTGGTGGGAGATGGCCGGTCGGTAAGAATGGTGACTTCTCTCTCCAGGGAACGTACGGTAAACAGGCCGGCATGCGCAGAGAATACGGCGGTCTGGGTAGCTTTAACTACAGGTGGTGATACTGTTAAGTATTGACTGATAAGAATATTTGTAAATATATTATAATGATAATAATAATAAATTATTTTTAAATAACAATATTGCACTTTTAATTTCTAAGATTTTCGCAAGTACTCATTTAAATGAAACTAATATTTTCGGATTTTTACTTCGCGTTTTTATTTTTGATTATAAAGTACATACTCCCGACGTTTCGATTACTTTTTATCAACCGTGATCACGGGCAGACGAGATGTCAGTGTCTGTCAGTTGGTCTTGTTATTTTATCGAAAAAACGCGAAGTAAAATCCTAAAATATTAGTTTCATTTAACTATTGCACTTTTATTTGTGATACAGTTACATTTTATGACTTTAAGTGGTTTTTTAATCTTTTACATGAGCATCTTATCTTTTAAAACGAGGAAATTTAATATCAGGAACATGGCAAACAAGTACTTAGAACTGAGAAAATACGTCGCTTCAAATTTTTAATACATTTTATCTTTAATGAATATGAACTTAGTCGAGGGTGGTATGATACTAATGAGATATTTTCAGAAGAAACCCAACGTCAAAGTTTTTTGTATTTACATATCAGTCTCTATAAAATTGTAACTCAGTATCGTGAATCAAATAAGTAAAACCTATATGTAACTTTTAATTATTGTTGTATTTTAAAAATAAATCTCAATTAGTCACCTTACATATGTGTATGAAAAGATTATAAAGTGAATGCCGATTTAGAGATATTTTTTTTGCTAGAGGATTTAAACAAAAACCGGCTGTAACACAAGAAGTACTATTTGAGATGTGCATGATAGATGGGTAAGATAATTTGACAATGAGCCAATTGATTACTAGAAATAAATCAACTAACTTGTTTCAATATATTTTTGTTTAAAGACATAGTGATTTGAGTAAAGCTTACTTTTGCAGCTTTAAGTGCTACAATTATAGTTGAAATTGTAAAAAAAAATAATTAATCGAAGATGTATAAAAAAAAGAAAAGATATTTGTCATGGGTAATAAAAAACCGGTCCGTTGTTAAGATATCGAAAATATATATCGGCGCTACCAGCTTTAATAACGGATGCGACTTGAAAATAATTAGAGGCTGCCATCAATTCTTATTAAACCTCATTAGTATTTATGATTATTGTTAAAAGTAAAACGAAATCAAAAGAGAATAGAATTATGTTTGAATCCAAAAAAATATGACGTCTGGACTCACGACGGCGGACTCCAGAATTGAGAATTCAGCATTGATAATTCAGAGTTCAGTGAGCGTGTATCATAGAAGC